CTGGGTTGTCCAATGTTGTATAAGAGAACGTTCTGTAGTGGTTTTGAATGGCTCTGTGCCCACAGTAATGCTCAAATTGAGGGGGTCAAATGACCCAGGAGCCTCATAATGCACCTAACGGATGGGACAGGAGATTTTATTATGACACCTACATCTGACTGAATTTTGAGTATTTTTTGTGTGGGCAGAACATTTTTTATTCTGGAATCTATCTCATAACCCAAAAAGGTCTTGCACTGGGAAGGTATGAGATTGGATTTTTGTACATTTATGATCCACCCCACGCCACTCAGGTGCCCCAAACTTGCATGCATATCGGCTAACTGGTGCTCTGTTCTTGCAAACTGGAAATTATCCAGATAAGGTACCAAGGAAATTACCTTTTCCCTTAAGGGGAATAAAGCTTTGGCAAGTGTTATTGTAAAGTTACGTGGAATTATTACAGGCCAAATGGGAGGGCTGCAGTCTGCCAGTGTTTGGTGCCCTGATCATCTCTTATGGAAAACAAATAGTTCTAAAACAATTTCTAGATTGGCACATGTAAATATGCGTCCCTCAAATCTATTGGTAACATGAATGCAAGCTTTATGAACAAGTCCTTCATGGAAAAAATAGACTCCATCCTGATTTTTTTGTATCTTATGGAGTGGTTTAGGCGGTCTTAGGTTTATAATGACCCAGATTTTCCTAATGGTTTCTTAGAAAGGAGAATATTGGAGTAGAACCCAGAGTTCTGCTCTTCCAAGGGGACCCTGACTACGACTGAGTCTGCAAGCCCTGAATAAGATGTGGAAAAGCTGTAGCCGTTATCCTGTCTTTGGTTATGGAAGTAATGAGTATCCTTGGAGGGGCAGACGTGAATTCTAGGACCGCAGGCATAGTGTGTTCAGGATGAAAAAATTACTTGCGAGTCACCTTCATTATGGAAAGAAGTGAGCCAGTCTTCCCCCCACAATGTATTGGGATTTGGTAACTTGATGCAACATGCCCCACATCTTCTGCTTCTAGGTTTATCACATGTAGCAAGAGTCTTGTCCTTGTATGACTTAGCCTGAAAGACATGGTGGACTTCCTGATTATTTTTACGAGAGAAAGAGACTCTTCGGTGCTCAAAGAGAGAAGGGGAGGGTGGCCTTATTACCTGTCATTAGCCCACTAGGTAGGGAAAAACATAGTGAGGTCTGTGTTTGGAATCCATCATACTGTGTCACTTAAGGTCAGAAGTGAGTCATCATGAAATAGGAGATAAA